GTACGAATCCTTTTGCCCCATACCAACCATTACACCTTGATGACGTGGGCGTCCGACAATAGATGGGAAAACCTAATTTCAAAAGATGTAGATGAAATCAAAATTAAAAAATTAAATCTTCTTTTTATTAGCAGCAATACAAGAAAATCTTTTACAAAAATTCAGCATACCGCACGGGGTGCATCATCCCCGGCAAACCCAGCTTTGCACATGCCAGAACCGTTATCAATAACAAGCTAAAAGAGTGAAAGATGTTTATTTTAAACGACATTTTACAGAGTTTTTACCGACTAATTATAGTATTTTAAATAACTCAACCAAAGATTTTATTAAAAGCAAAACTTACGGCGGCGACTTCTCTATCCATGTTTTAGAGGTTTATACTGATAGGTAGATGTATGAAAACTGTATAAAGTTATTAAGCCTGATGCAAAGTTCGGTTCAAAAGTCAAAAATTTATAAGGTAAAAGCTATGTGTCGAAGAGATATGATACTTTTTGGTTTAGAAATAAAGGTTAGAAAGAATCGATTTTTATAGAAAATGGGTATCGGGACAAGCTATTTATAATAGCCAAAAAAACCTTTAATTAATAAATTAATTGGACCTCCTAAGAGAACTAAGAAAAAAATTGAGGATCGCCGCAGGAAATTGGAACACTGCCACGATTTCTTGTGAATGATTAATCTTGGCTTCATTTCTCGTCAATTTCTTTTTTGGTTAATGACGCTTCTTAGGACTTAACTGCCAACTGAACATCGATAAAAACTTTCTATTATAGATTAACTTTGCATAATAAAACATAAATAAGCACATTTACTACGCAAAAAATATTTGTGTTCGTGTGCTTTCATAATACAATTCATTCTCATTATAGTGAAGACATCGGGACAAGAAAAAAACCTTCACTATAGCTTACAGTCAAGGACAAAAGTAATGGGGTGAACGTTTTCACCTATATTTTAACAACGAAGCATTTAAAAAATATGAAATTTTGCAGATAAATTCTTTAGGATATCTTGAACAAGATTTATAATAACACAAGCTTAATAAAATTTTGCATAAAATGTGTGGATTAAGTGTTTACATGAAATAATTTTGAACAAGAAATTATTAAAAAATATTTTAATAAGTAATTTGAAAATATTTTGTAAATATATATTTTAAAATATAAAGAATATATTCGTAAGTTTAAAAAAAAATTTTCATTGCACATTTATTAATACATATCAGTTTAAAAAGGCTTTATTTTAATAATTTTTATAAGAAATAATAGTAAAAATAGGATTTTTATTATATTTCTTATAAAAATCATTAAAATAAAGTTTTTTTAACTGGCATGTATTAAATAAATGTGCAATGAAACTTTTTGTAAACTTACAAATATAAAGATGAAAATATTCACCGTAGTTACTTTTGTTCTCGACTGTATATTGAAAGAATAATATATAACTTCATTATATCAAGCGAAAGTTTAATAGTATTAATCCTGAGCAAAAAATTCCTATTATGACGAGAGATTCGTTATCGATAAACAGTTGACTTCTTTTATAATAAAGCTCGTTATAGTAAAGACTAATTAAATAATAAATTTGAGTGCAAAACCATATAAAAAAATAATCCTCTCTATAAATAAATTCTCGATATAGTAAATTTTTGAATATTTTCCCTAATTGAACGGACACTTTGCTATAAAGGAAGTCGACATGTGCATGTATCTCCTTTACTCATATGGCGTGTATATTCTACACATCGTTCTCTCCATTCATTATAGGAAAAGGCACTACAGAAAATCAAAACATGGACCAGCTACAAACTGTTATAGTAAAAATAATGGAAACAACATTAATTGATTCAGTGACTCTTTGACAACATCGTCACGTTGAAAATAATTTAATAAAACTTGCTAAAATTATTTTGGAAAAAACACAAAGTCACAAGATATTCAACAATTCTAGGCTTTCATTTAACAGACAGTAACAGCCAAAAGTAATACATCAGGGGCTAAATTTATTAATAAAACATAGTGAAAATTGAAATTTTCTCTCTATATTAAAATTTATAATTTTATTAA